AATTGATAAAAACATCAAATTAATTTGGTCGTTTTTTTTTGACATCTAGATTACTATCAAATTAAATTTATTATTTACATAAATTTAAAATATACTTCCCTCTCCTCTTCTTTCTTTTTTCTTTTTTCTTTTTCCCCTCCCCTCCTATTTCAATATTCTCTATAAAATGGTGTTAATAAATATGCTTGAGAGAGATATGAAATTAATTCCTCCCTATATCAAATGCCCCCTTTAAACTTTTATTTGTTTAAAAAAAATTAAATATTTAAAGTGCTTTTAAAATCAGAAATAAATTATTATAAACCTTAAAGTGGTCTGTTTTTCTTTAATATATACATATATATATATATATATATATATATATATATATATAATATATATATTGGTTTGAATAGCCCAAGCATACATGGTCTATAACATCGAATAGCCCAAGTGCAGTCTTGATTAGTTGCCATTTTCTTGGGGAACTTATATAATGCACGTCCTAAAGCTAGTAGCAAATTTTTATTCTGGTTGCAGGCCGAATACTGATCATATTCGGGTTACCCATCGAAGAAGTCTGTTGTTTATTTAGACCCGAAACATCTAGTGACATGGGAGCAACAACACTGACGACGCATCTAGATTCGGTACCTAAAGGTGTAATTCTAATAATAATAATAATAAATGGAAAATCGTATTCGAGGATACCCGCCTACGAGAACGGCTAGCCAATCCTTATTGCAGACGTTTGCTCAGAGACCACCTGTGGTTTATATTGCAACTATGACGAGCAGACCTTAGTTGCAGTTTCAAGGAGAGAATGTGTATTCTACGTGATGAACAGTCTGAACAAATCCAGTAGGATCAAACCCTCGGTCACATGAATTTTCACTTCGTACTAGCTTAGCTATTGACGGCCTCCAAGGGTACCGTCTACAAAATTTCACTCACCATGCTATGGTTTTTAGCCACTTTCCAAAGGTGACGCAATCAGGGATTGTCCCAGCCAGACTGATGACATCAGGAAGTCTCCTTTCTAACAAAACCGGCTTTCATGGTCAGAAAGCGAACGTTCTAACCACTATATATATATATATATATATATATATATATATATATATATATACACACAAACACACACACACATATATATATATATATATATACAAACACACACACACACATATATATATATATATATATATATATATATATATATATATATATATAAATCAAGGAAAAGCTTAACACATCACGAAAATACGGTAATAAAGTAAGTCTCATCAGACCGAACACATAATGTTATAAAATTACGAACAATGGTTTAAATTATCCAAACAAATCACCAGGCAGCTCTTTCTAAATACTTTTGGGAATTAAAGAATAGTAATCTCACGCCACAGATTAAATGGAAAATTATAGGTTTTTCTCAAACGTCCAAGAACTTCAGAAATAGGTGCAAATTGTGCCTAAAAGGAAAAATTAGAAGAGTTAAATTTAAAAATACTAACCAGCTATTAAATCAAATGAAGGATATCATATTTAAATGTCATAAAAAAAAATTTAAATTACTTTATAAATAGAATTTTCTTCTAACTTAGTTCATTTTAACTAAATTTACAGCCATTATGTTTTCATTACGAGTAATAAACGTGACTTTTTATATACATATAATTTTTATATATATGTATTTTTACATATATGTATTTAATATATATATAGTTTTATATATATTTATGTATTTTTATACATATGGCTTTATATATATATATATATATATATGTATGTGAGTATATAAATATGTGTATGTAGATGTATATATGTGGGGTAATGTTTTGGTATATGTATTGGCATACGCCTTAAATATTGTTGTCGTCTTGTTAGGGCCAGAAATAAAGACACAAAGCGAGGAATTGAGTTAAACAAATATATTAACAGAAACAGTAATACAAACATATACAAACGAGAGTGTTACAGCAAGAATGTTCGGTCCGATTGTCAGAATTGACTGCTGGAATCTCCCCCCTCCCAAAATGCAGTACCTGCGCCTCTTTATAGCTAGGAGAGTGCATGTGTGTGTGGGGGTAAGTTACCATAACACACATAGATACTCTTTGTATGTGTGTTTACTCTGTATGAATATGTCAGTTCAAATATATATGCATATATATATGTGTGTGTGTGTGTGCGTTCGTGTGTGTTTACTTTGTGCTTGTATGAATATATTGGTTCAAATATGTTATTTATATATGTATGTATATGTATATGTGATTTTCTCATCTGAGTTTCCTTCTCTTATATGTGTTGACTTAAACATGACTAAAGAGCCCCATTTACCCATATACCTATGAGCACATATACATATATATATAATTCTTTCTGTGGGCTTGTAGATAGGACCCATCTCCTCTTTAAGTCCTTGGTCGACAGCCGAAACCACTAATATGACGCGGATCACCTTCAGTCTGGGCACTTGGTCGTTGCATTCATTGTCCATCCGTTGTCCACTTGTGCAGATGATCCGTGTAGTAGTGCAATGCAGACACTGCCCTTCTCATGATTTATCCCGCTTGCTGAAGCGGTTTACAAAGTTTAGCGTGGAGATTTAAGGGATGACCAGCGTTGCCCGTTCACCTTCATAATAAGTAGCAGCAGCCGAGCAACAAAATGCTACTTCTACACATTGGCCCCTACACGCATGATGTCGGAGTAAACAGTTCGTCATCAATGTGTCAATATATTGATATAGATACTAAAGTATAAAATTATTATGAAATATATGAGAATATTATTATTATTTTTGCTGTTGTTGTTTTTTTTTAAATATTTCAAAGTTAAATAATAAAACAAATTGACTAGTAGTAAAAACGAAACAAAATAACGTTATAACTGGGAACGCTTTTCCAACAAAATTGAAAGTGCGTTACTTTACAATTAATAAATAATGCAATAATTAATAAGATGTGTAAAAGAATAAAATGTATATCAAATGCTATTAAAAGAATCTTTGGATATAATCAGTAACAGATAAAGAAATCGGCGATAATGAGCCAATAGTCAAAATAAACAAAATAAATATTACGATTCTATTTTCATTCAATTTCGAAAATAACGACTACTTTCTTAAAGACAAACAAAAAATTCCTGAGAAATGCTACGCTTAAATATAAAAAGGCAAGAATCATTCATACCACTATATAATTAATTTAATAAATACAATGCATTAAATGGTCTTCTTATATATAAATCGTAATGAGATATTCTTGATAAATTAGACTTAAACAACACTTATTTTAAAAAAGAAAAATCGTTATATACTACGACTTAAAAATAAGCAAATATGTAAAAAAAAAGATTACAAAATATGTATATTAAATACTGTAAATACAACAACAACGTAACAAATATTATAATAGCATAAACAAAGAAAAATATAAGAATAATGAATGATTAAAACATATTCCTTTAAAATACGACATCGCTTTCTTTGAGCAATGGGCGACATCCCCGTTCATACAGGGTAGATGGGACTCTTCAGTCATGTCTGTGTCAGACCATCTAAAAGAAGGAAACTCAGATGACAAACCTGCGACTGAAACGATTACTGGTCATCTCGCCTTTGCTAGTCATCAGATCATAATCGTCGAAGCTTAAAGATTGGTACTCGTATTGTACAAGCTTTTTGTCACTATAATCAAGCGATGTACAGCTGCCTCTTTGCGTCATCTCTCATTCAATTTGTACACTTCAACCAAAAGTCCATGGCGATGGAGGACGGACAACGCGTGCAGGCTTAACCAGTCACAAATCTGCACATTGGCTGCGAGAGTCTTATCCTAACATCGCTGTCTCTTCATTTTGACACGGACCCACTTTGGTGGAGGCTTGTGCGACTGAGCAGCCTTAGTCAGGGAGAGCACTGATAACCCAAATGCGTGGGAAGATGCTAAAGAAGGGGCGCCAAAAATTGTCTGTCATATCAACGTTGGTTAGTCTCCAGCGGCTAATGGTGGTTCACTAAAAGCGGGAAGAATAACAATAAAATTAATGGACACCAAAAAATGTATTCAGAGGATAGGTTCAGATCAAATATTTGTTATTGGGATGTCAGAACTTACTAAGGACAAAACCTCGTCCGAACGTCCAAAGCATAGAACCGATCTCGTTACAAAGGAACTTCAGTGACTGAACGTAGACATAACAGCCCTAGCAGAGACGCGACCAGCAGAAGATCAGTTAGCCTAGGTATCATCAGGCTTCACGATTTTCTGGTAAGTAAACCCAGAGCCGAACGAAGAGAGGGTGGTGTTGGTTTTGAAATCAGAATATCTCTTCTTGATCGCATCGAATTTCTTTCTAGTGTAAATGATAGAATCATGAAGATGCAGTTGTCACTGACGAATAATCAGCATGGAACTCTCTTCTCCATTTAAGCACCAACCCTACAGTCTAGCGAGGAAGTTCTTGATTCATTCTACGAGTGTGTTCGCTCTATTATAACAACCACGCGTGCTGGCGATAAATTACCGATACTTGGAGATTTTAACGCCAGTGTAGGCAAAGACTGCCAAACTTGGGGCACTACTGGCCCTTTCGTCATTAGTAAAATGAATACAAGCGGATTCAGGTTGCTCGAACTTTGTTCAGAACTTGATTTAATCATCTGCAACATGTTTTTTCCGGCATTTAACTTCAACAATTTGGAAGAGATGACCCTAGATAGAATTGGATGGCGAGGTCAAATAAGAGACGGGTGTCAACTCTTCAAAGAATGTTGTCTGGAAAACAAACAGTTGAAGCGGCGATTTCGAATGGATTCTAACCACGGAGTTGACGAGCGTATCAAGGGCTGGACATGTGATTTCTGTCAGGGCATACTTCTTTCAAAGGTTTGCTGGGTGAATCATATGAAGTCACATAAAGAAAAAAAATCACCCTTGATATTCCCCAGATACAGTGTCACAACCTGTACGCTGTATGAAAAGGTATCCACAAAGAGCTCCGGACTGAAAAGGCACATGGTAGTGCACAGGAATCAGATACATCGGTGTGAATCCATCAAGATTGTGGCAAGCGTATTTTTCGTATGTCCCTTGCGTAACAGGTCATGCAAGACCGCGGCCGGACTGGCAAGTCACCTTCGGGGTCATGTACGAGAGAGATGCGAGGTGGAGGGTGAACGTAATTAGGCGGCCATCCTCTGGGAAGATGTGGCGGGCCATCATCAACATGTATATATGTGCTTGAATAAGGTACAAGCTGGAATATCTTCTTAAATTACACGTCTTTTGTTATTAAATTTAGTTTCGTGAATAGGTCTTTAATTTTATCATAAAATCAAAATTAAAAAAAAAATATTAATAAAAACATACACAAAGTAATTTCTAAAAAAATTAATGAATTTTGTAAGAAATCGATATGTATAGTCTAGAATCTTAAAAAAAAAAAGCGACCTCGCGTAGGTTTCGATCCTGCCCCCAGCTCTTTTAAAGGAAACCACCGCCTAAATCGGCTAGAGAAACTGCCACATCTCGGTAACATTCAGTAACTAATAGTAATTTCTTTTTTCATCCAAGCTTAAATCCACATCAGTCTGGATTTCTTACATGAGGTAGTGTAACTACTTACATGATTTACATTGTTCAGACTGTTGTCCTCATCTTTGTTGCCGTATTCACGACGTTTCGGCCGTTGTACGCTCCGGCCTTCTTCAGTACCTGCCTTTCTGAGGATGAGGTATTGTAACTATTTACATTGTTCGTATTGCTGTCCTCATCTTTGTGGCCGTATCCACGGCGTTTCGGAAGTTGTACGCTCCGGCCTTCAGGATCTGTCTATCTTTCTGAGATGAGGTATTGTAACTATTTACATCATTTAAATGGTTCGAACTGTTGTCCTCATCTTTGTTGTCGTATTCACGACGTTTCGGCCGTTGTACGCTCTGGTCCTCTTCAGGAGCTGTCTATCTTTCTGAGATGAGGTATTATGCCTTTTTATATCATTTACATTGTTTGGACAGTTGTCTTCATCTTCGTTGCCGTATTCACGACGCTTCGGCTGTTGTAAGCTCCGGCCTTCTTCAGGATCTGTCTATTTTTCTGAAATGATGTATTATAACTATTTACATTATTTAAGTCGTTCGGACTGTTGTCCTCATATTTACTGTCGTATTTACGAAGGTTCTGCCATCTTCATCTATAGCTATTCAGATGTTTAAAATATGGGTAGTATTAAAAAAGAATTTATTCTAACCAATAATTACTAAATTATATGATAAAATTTAATATTAAAATTAAAAACTGCTAATTTCAAGATCAATATTTAATCGCTATTAAGTTTACAACTATAAAATTACTGAGGAGAAAAGAAGAAATATATATGTTATTCCATTTATTTCTTCATTGAAGTTACTTTAGCTAATTTTATATCCGGTCCTTTATATATATATATATATATATATATATATATATATATATATATATATATATATATTTACATACACACACACACACACACACACACACACACACACATATATATATATATATATATATATATATATATATATATATATATATATATATATGGTATTAAAAATGCATTTACAAAATTTGGAATGGGTTCCTCACACCAAAACAAGGACAAAAGTCCATACAAACGTTGTGAAACTGGAACATTCTTAACGCATTTCCGTTTTGCTTAATACTTTTCTTTCCGGTTAATGCTGGCATGTATGAAATCGAAATTGCAATCAGATGGATTACGATGATCCGTGAGGGGCTTTAAAGTGTTTTCATGCAGAATAACTCTTCGGCTATGATCATGAGGATATGTTGAATAGATAACGATTGACGCTAGACTTAAAAATCTAAGACTTTACTTATCGGAGAAGCATCCACTTCGATATCTGTTCCACACAGAAGGAGCTATTCAATATATTTATGTGTGTGTTTGCTGTGTGTGTGCAAGGCTCTATATTGCAAATGGCAGTTGAATGTTTCTGACTGACGCCATACAACAAGCAACAAGCAGTAGAATTTATTATCTCAACTGCATTGAAACGAGAATCATTCGATATATCAGTCTTTGAGAGGCTTCGTCAGTTCCACTCGACTATTGAATCGTTTTACAAACACATAAAAGTGCTTATAATTTGTCAGGAGTGTCGCTTTCTAAAGGAAAAAGGATTTTTTTTCTCAGCGTAGCATAAATCGGTAAAAGATAAAAATGTAAGAAACATCGAATTGGTAAGAGAGCTGTCTTGAAGAGGACATAAATATGTATTTGTTTACATAATACTAATGTATTTACGATCTTTACTAAATTGAGGTTGAGTCTCGCTTACAAGTGCTTCCCACGATTACCAAGCTGGTAGTTTTTGGGTGATTTTATTTTCTGTTAGATTCATGTTCAATGAAACTGCTTCCGGCAATCGAATATCTTTATACTAAAGTTTTCAAAGCAATATACACAGGATTTCATTGGTCAGTGATAGAATGCCTTTTTTTCCCTTTTTAC